CTTTAGTAGTGTTATATTTAGAAATAAAGTTACATGTCCACCATGTTTCAGTAAAATATAAAGTTAGTAGTTATTTATACCTCTAAAAAAATAATGTCTGTTTTAGGCTTTACTTCCTTACTTTACTTTAATTAGTTTCTCTAAACTTCTTTTTATTGATCACATAGGCATAAAGGCCTTTAACATCAGGCTTGATTTCTTAAAGATTAAACCATTCCAATAAGCATTTGGCTATTTATACACATTACTTGTTTATCATGTAATAATGAAACCTTGTGTTAAGATTTAAATCATCTGTTTGATGTACAGATAAGTTTCTTTGGTAAGCCACACTGATAAGCAGTCGGGTTTTATGTACATTACTTAATTGTGTAGTGTGCCAATATGTCCAGATCTAAGTCATTTTTATGATATGTACGTAATCTTTAAAAGTCCTACAAATGCAAACTTAAGGTTGCATAATTTTATGAAAATAAATGATTTAAGAGATAAAAAAATATGTATTAGTTCTAGATTTTATACTTCTGTGCCAAATGAAAAACTTTCACTGACCAGGAGTGACCAGAGTATTAATTTTAACATTTGCGAAGGATTATTCTGTGATGTTATACTTTATTAACTTAGGTAAATGGAACATTTTTGTATGGTTTATTTGAAGGAGAAGGCCCAGAAAATTTGTCAACTAGTTCAAAGTGGTCTCGTCCTACACCACCGCCACTAAATCCAGAGAAGGACTCCCTTGTCTTCCAACAGCTTGATATTGCACACTACATTGGACAACCTCTTGCAGGCATGCCGGGTAGCCAGATTGGTTCTGTGCCTGTGATGCAGATGTTTGGAATTACAATGGAAGGATATAGTGTGATGTGTCATGTTCATGGTTTCACGCCTTATTTCTTTATTCCAGCCCCAACAAATTTTAAAACAGAACATTGTCAAATATTTCAGGTAAGAATCAGAATTATCAATAACTTTTGATCACTGTCAGCTACACAAGTAGATGAGAAGTTGGGAACTAAAAAAAAAAAGTAACCTAATATTTAATCTAGCTAATTCAAAACACCAATCTAAACTAGGGGGTGTGCAGTGTTATAAAATGCAACAACCCTGTATTTTTAGTGTAATAATTGTGAAGTAACTTCGTGTATAACTGTAGTATATGATGCTCCGCATAATTAAGATTAGTATACACTTTGAATTTTAAACTGAATTTTTTTTTAATCACAGTAAATAATGAAGTTTGCACAAAGTTTCAAAAACTTTTAAAATTGATATTATTATTCAATATCTTAGAGTTATATACAGATAATTGGTTTTTATTGATTAGAGTTGTTTAAACAACTCTATTTATTCAATTATTTACCAGCTGCCTAGTGTCGGCTAACAATACGAAGAATTAAATTGTGGCGGAATGTTACAAGTTCTTCAATTATCTATAGAATGATAGGTTTCTTTTTTTTTGTGAGTGTGAAACACTTAAATGCACCATTTCAATAATTGGCTTTGTTGGTTTTAAGAAGTGAATTTTATAATTTGTTCTTAAACTCTGCTAGTATTTATAACATGCAAAGTTCTTTTGTTAGTTCCATTATTTCACCTTTGTGGTACAATCATATTGGTGGAGTTAGTCTTAAAACATCATGTGAGGTCAGTATGTCATGTTCTACTAAGTTGGAAAGAATCATGTCCATGTATATAACATGAATTTATAACTAGTGCTTTCAACTAGACTTTAAATGTGTAACACATAAAACGAATATTCATATCTATTTGAGTGTGCTAAATCTCCTAAGTTTTATATACTTTTTTTTTAGAGGTGATTAAATGCCAGAAGATCATGGAGTTTCAGTTGTTAAACCTCCCAAGACTTAGAACATCTGAAGTGTAATATTTTAGTTGTCCCGCAAATTGCTAATTCCATAAAATTAAGTTATAGTTTTTGTCGTGTTGATTAGAAACAAATTACTGTTCTGTTTTTAGGTACTTTTATTGCTGAAATAGTGTTGTTTTTGTACATATTCTGGCAATGCCATCACGTACTATTTTACTTCCATGTTTAATTTGATTGCCATATTTCAGCAAAAACCTGTGATGCTTGAATTTATTCTTTGGCTTAGCCACCAAGTTATAAAAACAGTGCATCTCTGTCAATAGACCTGCCTACTGCTACAATTTTGCAATAGCTGCTATGTAAAATGCTCTCTGGTTACAGTGCTACGGTCATTTGTAAATGGCTACGGCAACTATGGGGTCTCGCAGTGTACTTGGTTGATTCAAAGTCTTTTATACACTTGATGTCCTCCGAGCCCTGTCACTCTATTTGCATAAATGTACTTTCCACTGGAAGCATGCCTGCAAGTGATTTTTCTCAAGTGAAAGAAGACACAAGAAGGTGGCGATGACAGCTAATCAGACTTTCAGAAAGGAATACTGTGAGTTGTGGCCTTGCCCCAAGCCAGGTAAGCTTGCCATAAACCACATACTCTGTGCCAGTTAAAAGGATGGTAACTGTGCTACTGACTAATCCCCTTTTGACCAGTTGATAGGCAAACACTACTGAGAGCAAACTTTATGGGTAGGCAGGTTTGTGTCAGCTAGTAGCTCTAATCTCTTAGAGATCTTAATACATCATAACTTCTTATAATTAAATTCATCCTAAGGCCTAACTACCAACTTAAGAAGACATTTACAACTGTGTTTTATAGAAATGAGTGGCTGGTTCTGTTAAACATGCCTGAAAAAACCCACCTGTCACATCAGTTATAGGTTCCTTAGCACTAAGTAGCCATTGTTTCATTCCTATGTATGTTTCTTCTATCACTTTTTTTATCCTTTTGTATTAACAATATGATCTTGACATCTTGTTAGGCCTAACATATTTTTGATAAAAAATTAAGGCTCTTTTTTGTTTTGATTGCTGTTTTGTTTTCGTGAATTATCATTTACGTTACTTACTCATAAAACAAAAATAATTTTGAATGTAAGTAAACTGCCTAGAGGGTGCACGTACCAAACATTTTTTAACTAATTTAGTGATAATAGAACTTCCATTAATGTAGTTTTTTTATTGGTTTCAAACTATTTTACTTGTACTTGTTTCATTTTTGTTCAGGAAGTGTTAAATAAAGCAGTAATAGCCGACATGAGGTCAAACAAGGATGGAATTACTCAAGCAGTATTAGCTGTCGGTGTTGTGATAAAAGAAAGTAAGAACCACAAGAACTTTGAAATTATATTTTTTATTAATGTTTATTGTCACCGTTAAAAGGCCTGTTTAGTAATTTAATTTGATTGTCAGCTTAAAATAAAATGCAGCTTTGTATTAAATAAAACCTAACGAGTATAGAATTTGGAGTTTCTACTGTTTCCAAACAGAATAATTCCCCTTTTTCTTCGTCTGCCTTCATGCATTCTGTTTTTTCAGTACAACTGTAATTTAAAGAATGCTCAGTTGTTCTTGATTCAATATATTCTTTAGTTATAAATAAGGAATGTTTCTGATACATCAGTTATGTACTAACACTACAATTTCAAAGAAACTCGCAAACTTAATTAGATATCATAACTTGAAATTTTAGAGTATATGCCTGTTAAAGCTGGTTGATTAATCATCAAACTCATTAATTGATTCAATTAATCTAATCGATCATTTTCAAGAGACACAAGATTTGATCAACAAAGAAAATAAATTATCAAAAAATATCGGAGCTCCATAGACGAAGTGCTTATTTTAAACATTTCTGAAGAAGGAAATTTTTTATTAAACGTATTTACCGTGAGTTGTAGCATATCATTATGAGAAATAACATTTTATGTAAACCAAAATTAAGTTTGTTTTTTTTTATTTTCCTATTTGTTCTTTTAACAAATATGCATTGTTTTTTTCTTCTTACAGCATACTTACTTCACATTAGGCTTTACATGCTTTCAATTCAAGTACATTAGGTTAATTGTAATACAGTTGATTTTATACGTACCGTGCCAAATCTTAACTTTAAATAGTTATTTACATAGTTATCGTTTATTAACATGCACGATACATTATATATACGTCATTTATGAGTTATCAAATATAAACTACCAAATTTCAAATTAAAATTAGTAAGCATTTTCAAAATACCTAAACTGTATTAATATGAAGATTTCATGGTATTAATTTTTCCATTTGACAGTAATGTATGGGTTTCAAAAAGTTTTTTTTTAATGTTCCACAGTAGATCAATTATATATAATTACATATAAGATGTTTCGTGATATTATATAATTTTTAAATGGTCAAGAGTACACTCCCTGGTCAATAACACAGAAAAGCATGAGGATGATAGGCCTATTAACACCTACACGTTAAGTAAGCTATTTCTCTGTGTAAGAAAGTTTATTACTTAGCAGTATAGTCAAGTGAGAAACACGTTGTCAAAATTAATGTTTTAACTTTTGTTGAAAAATTGGAGAATATTTTTTGAAATCAGTACTTTGAGAAATTGTTACACACATAAGAAAAAATTTAAGTTCTGTGTGAGGAAAAATAAATAAATACGAAACACAAAAATAATAATAAGAGCAATAAGCAATAAATTATATATTAATGTTTATTAGCATAACAGTGATAGAATAAAAACAGCTATTTTTGATATTTGTTAATATGAATTTATTATCATTACATTTTCAACTTTTTTACCTGCTATAATTTCAAGTTCAAAGTTAGGAATGACAGAAGTTTTACCATAACTCAAAAACAAATATACCACTCCCTTTATTTAACACTAACCTATCCCAAGAGTTGACGGTCAGTCCTGCCATCTAGTTTCTGTCCCTCTAGACAGTAGTTCGAAGTTAGGAATGACAGAAGTTTTACCATAACTCAAAAACAAATATACCGCTCCCTTTATTTAACACTAACCTATCCCAAGAGTTGACGGTCAGTCCTGCCATCTAGTTTCTCTACCTCTAGACAGTAGTTTGAAGTTAGGAATGACAGAAGTTTTACCATAACTCAAAAACAAATATACTGCTCCCTGCGTGGCTGAAAAAGTGAGCATGTTTGGTTAGCAACAGGAATTGAATTCAAGACCCTCAATTTCAGTTAAATCATCAGGTTATTTCGGTTCTGAGCTGAACAAACTCGAATTGATCAAAAATATGTTAAAAGGAGAATTTGAGAAATATAAATTAGTACTTTCTAATTACTCGTATAGCTGGAATAACCAAGAATTGATATTGATCAGAAACATTACAATCAGTTCATTACTCTTGCAAGTCATGACAGACTGTAAAGACTTGAATTAATTAAAAATAATAATTAGAAATCCTAATGGCAATATTTGAGTTACTTGGATTGTTAGGATAATCAAAAAAATTAATAATTGGAAACACTAACATTGATTAGTTGATTATGTTTGTGACATAGCTTGATTTAATTATAAGTTCGGTCAACCAGTTATTTTACGTCACGCTAATCAGTGTAAGTGATGCCCGTAGCTAATTAAGTTAATCACTCAGCTCTCTATAAAATTTGTGACGATGAAGAAAAAAACAACCTATAACAGCAGTATGATAGAAATTTTTTTATTCTAACTAATGCCTAACAAGTCACTTGCGGTTTGTTTTTCCTTATACACAATTTTGTATACTAGTGCACAGAGCAAAGAACAGAAACTGGAACCTAGGATGTAAGTTTACCAATTAAATATATAAACTTTATAAAATTAAAAAATCAAACATTAATAGAATGGTGAAGAGAAAGATTAATTTTGTAAAATATTGACTTTTAGTAATGAGTAATATCAATAATGACCTTGATTTAAGTGAAAAAAAATAAATTACTTGTATAGCATCATGTATATGTGTATTTAAAAAAGTATAATATTTTAGAGACTTGTTCTGTCATGGGGACCTGGCATGGCCAGGTGGTTAGGGTGCTCGACTTGCAGTCTGAGGGTCGCGAGTTCAAATCCGTGTTCTCACCAAACATGCTCGCCCCTTTCAGCTGTGGTGGTGTTATAATGTTACGGCCAATCCCACTATTTATTAGTAAAATAGTAGCCCAAGAGTTGGCGGTGGGCGGTGATGACTAGCTGACTTCCCTCTAGTCTTTCACTGGTAAATTTGGGATGGTTAATGCAGATAGCCCTCGTTTAGCTTCGAGCAAAATTCAAAAAACAAACAATGTGTCATGGGAAGAAAACAATCATAAATTAATACTTTTTATGTTTTACAAAGTGGTGGTTTAAAATGATTGAATTTTAAAAATCTGAGAATCACAATCTAATTAATAGACCTGTGAAACTAATTTTTGTAGAAACAAATTAGAATGCTCTGGGAATACAAAACTTGAATCTTATAACCTAATTCGGCTTCAATGACAGGTTCCTCCAAATTTAGAAAACAATTGTTCTCAGGTTTCCATTTTTTTTTTGTTTTTACAATGTTAGATTTGTGTACAAATTTCCCTAATTAATTACATCAATACATTTTTATTATTTTCCAAAGATGTGTTATTGATATAGTAAAAAAATGTGTGATGTTTATATTTTATTGTTCTGGAATAAGAAGTTTTAATACTTAACAGGCATATATGGGTACCATGTAAACAGGAAAGTACCGTTTTTAAAGATCACTATGGCTCTGCCAAGACTTATAGCTCCAGCTAAGAGACTCTTGGAAACTGGCGTAGTAAATGTGCCATCGTATGGCAGTCGTGCATACCAACCATACGAGAGCAATATTGACTTTGAAATCAGGTAAGGAATTATAGTTGAATGCGAGTTTAATTTACTTGTGTTTCGACGGTGAAGTATATATAACTTGTAAAAAACACAGTGATATTAATATGTATCACTTAAATGTGTGGCTTAAGACTGATCTCTTGACATTTTACTTTACATAATACAAGATGTCTTTAACTGTGAAGTTTGATATTTAAAAAGCAACATCATAGGCTTAACAAGCCAGTTTTTAAATTTTGTTTTTCATTGAAATCTATAGAAAAATTTAGACATTATATATTTGGATACTTTTTTTTTCTGTCCTAGAAACATATTTGTTGATAAATTATAAGTGAAAATTTTTGTAGCTATCTATTTTTAACCCCAAATAATTGGTATTTTGAATAGTGCACAACCCCCAGTAAATATTTTCTTCAACAGAATATTTCTTTGCTTGATAGATTTATGGTTGATACTGGAATAGTGGGATGTAGCTGGATTGAATTGCCACCAAAAAAATATCAAGTTCGAAGCAAAGATAATGCACCTAGTCCTATTTCCCGTTGTCAGATTGAGGTTGATGTAGCGTGGGACAGTTTTATCAGTTATCCACCAGAAGGTGAATGGGCTAAGGTTGCTCCCTTCAGAATTTTGAGCTTTGATATCGAATGTGCTGGTAGAAAAGGTGAGAATTTTATTTTTATAATAATAATAATAATAAAAAAAATTCCAATTTTGACAACATATAATTGTTTTTATATTAAGAAATATAGTAATTCCACGGTCATCCTGTAAGAAAACTTGTTAGGTAAAGAACTGTGTTTAAAAGTAAGTATAAATTGGAATTATCCGTACACATAGTTTGAGAATATTTGTAAGAGGTACAATTTAACTTATATACTTCAAAGTACTTTGTAGTTAGTTTTTGTTGTTTTTATATTTAGTTGGATACCGAGACACTCAGTATTGCTAAATTTTATCACATGCTCTTTTCCATTTTTGTTATGACCAACTAAGATTTATTAGTGTTACTCGGTGATTTAAATTTTAGGCATGTTTGAATTGATTACCATATTATAGTGAACAAATGTTAAGAACATTTTTAGTAATTCTCTTGTTAACCGTTTCAAATGTAAGTAATGTTTTGTGTGTTCCAAAGGTATCTTTCCAGAGCCTGAGAAGGACCCTGTAATTCAGATTGCCAACATGGTTATACGACAAGGAGAGAAAGACCCTTTCATTCGTAATGTTTTTACCTTGAATAGTTGTGCACCAATTGTTGGCTCTCAGGTTCTGTCGTACATGAAGGAGAATCAAATGCTTGAGGTGAAAACAAGAGTTTTTTTTTCTTTGCATTCACAAAATATGTACTATAAAAAAAAGTTTCTACTTGACAAAGATATACCAAAATGATAATTTAGATGGTAGTGACCAACTTTTGAGTTGCTGTTAAGATCGTGGGAAGTAGCTTAAAATCTTTAACATTACTCAAAGAATCTAGTAATAAATGTGTGTTATGTTCTTCTGAGAATGATTGTTTTTCAATAGCATTCAGTTAGCTGTAATTATTACATATAACAATGATTTTTTCACCAAAATGGGGTTTGGCACTCAAGAAGTAAAAGAACTTTCAGAAATACCACTCACCTCTCTACAAAACTGAAAGCTACTACCTTGCACCATAGCTGAGAAGATTTTCGTGCATGTGCCAAGCCCTGAATGAAACTTCTATCTTTAAATGTATTATACTAGCTTATGGTACAATCAGCATTACACTAAGGCCATCAATCGATAGGATAGCAACACATTCTTCATGCACAGTAGACTCCAGGACTACCTCTTGTATTAACAAATGATCATTTTTTCCTGGGCACCGCTTTGTTTTAGATATGTTTTTATTACTATTATTATTATGGAATTATTGCTCTTACTTTATTAAACTTTTAGAGTTCTCATTGTAAGTGTAGCTTTTCTTACCTTTATTTTCTTGATTTGAGAAATAAAAATTTTAAATATTTCAGTTAGAACTTCTGATTCGAAGTTAGTATCATTCCTTACATTAACTTGATATCTATTAATCAAATCTGAAGATTTTAGAACAAAAGTTTCAGAGTATGTGATATGGAGGCCCGGCATGGCCAGGTGGTTAGGTCGCTTGACTCGCAATCTGAGGGTCGCGGGTTCAAATCCCTGTCACACCAAACATGCTCGCCCTTTCAGTGAGTTCCGGCCCGGCATGGGCAGGTGGTTAGGGCGCTTGACTCGCGATCTGAGGGTCGCGGGTTCAAATTCCCATCACACCAAACATGCTCGCCCTTTCAGTCGAGGGGGCATTATAATGTGACGGTCAATCCCACTATTCGTTGGTAAAAGAGTAGCCTAAGAGTTGGCGGTGGGTGGTGATGAATAGCTGATTTCCCTCTAGTCTACACTGCTAAATT